TATAAGGTTTTATAGTTTATTTAGCAAACTATAAAATGGAAATATATTTTACTATAATCTTATTATGAATAGTAGTGAAAATAAAGAAATAATTAAAAAAATTAACTATGGTTGACAATAATATATAAATAAATCATATGTTGAAATTCTAAAGAAATAATTATTGAACATTAATTAAACTATGTAATGTATCTGGTCATATCTTTTAAATGGTAAATTGTATTAATTTGAAGAATTATTTGTTATTTTATATATCAAATAAAGATTAAGAAAAAAAAAAATATATACAAATATTAATGCACCAACTTGATTTCACTTGGTTAATTGGAAGGCAAAAAATTTACTTTAACATGTTAAGTTTTTTTATAAATATTTTAGGATGAAAACTTAATATTTGTGAAAGAAAATTAATAATATGGTTAGAACTTAAAATCTATTTTCATGTCTATATTGAACAAAATATTGTCAACATGAATCACGAATAATAAATTTGCAGTTTATTATAATGGATATCAATGAAATTATTGCAAATGTTAGTAAAATATTCTAAAATTAATATTTTTATCATATCTGATTTGATTTGATTTATAAACGTGTATATACAATCCATTAATGGATAAATTTAAAAAAAAATCAAGAAAGATATGTATAAAATTTTCTCATTTTTTTTACTACTGTTTATAGTAAATTTTATTCTCTTTTCATATATTTATACAGATCGTAGAGCAGACAGACTATATGGTATGTTTGCATATAATTTTTTTTGGTTTTGTTTGGATTTTTGGATTGGTTTGGTTAATTTTAAAAAATATAGTATCGTTAGTCGTTAGTGGGTATATTAAAATAATATTCAAAATAAAATAATTAAAATTAATTTGATGTAAAAGTAGGATAGAGATGATTTAAAATGATGATTAGTTAAAATAATATGAGTAGATGAATATTGAATTAAGTTTGATATGCATGTATAAATGATTGCTTGATATTATTTAATTATATTGTTAATATTAATAATAATGAGATTGAGTTAAAGTTAAGTTTAAAAAAATGATTGAATTAAAATATTANGAATTTTTTGAAATTTTTTGTATCCAAATATAGTCTATATTTCAAGGCCCAAAAGAGTTACCAATATGGCTTGAAGGCAATAGGGTCCCATAAACGGTTCACGAGATCTAGTAAAAACCAAATTTCCAAAAATTCAATTTAAATTCTCCCTCCTTCCCCTTTCAAACGGCTATCTCTCTCTCTCTCTCTGCTGTTCCTCTTTGTTTCTCTCTCTAAAGCACTCCAAGCTGTCTCTCCTCGTGCACAAATTCTCTTCTTACCTCGCCTCCAACACGAAGAATTTCGTGATGCCTAGAAATCAAATCTTGAGAGAAAATCATGAAATTGTTTCAGCATCTCCTAACCCTAAATCGAGGCCGACCACACAAAGCCCTAGCAGTCGGAAGCTCAAATCAAACAAGGAGAATGCGCCTCCAACGCCAGCATCAGATACAAACTCCATGGGATCATCTTCCGCTGCCAAGAAGAGTTCTCTCCCCCCTCGGCCGCCACTCAAGCGCAAGCTCAGTGTCGAGCCCGTGGCATCTGAAAATTGTGGGGCAGCTGCTAATTCTCTAGATTCTGGAGTGAAGGTTTGAAATTCTACTTCGTAAATAGATCACCGACTGTTTCTATTGCATTTTCTCAAGCAGAAAACAAAAATTCTAGATTCTTCCTGATAGGTCTGTATATAGTGTTATTTTGGGGTTTATTTATTGTTCTTTTACTGTTGTCTTTGAGTTGTTGTAAACATTAAGTACAATCTACCAGTTCCAGTCCAGTTTATCTTCAACGCCTTTCTTTCCTCTCTTGATCTGAAAGGCTATCATTAAGTACATCTGCGTTGGCAAGTTGCAGTCTTGGAATACCCAATCATAT